GGAATGTGCCCTTAGCAAGAATGATGTTAAAGGAGGCAGTTTGGAAGGTAGAGGAAATTCCATTTCTCAAAGTGAAATTATACAGTGTATGTGTATGTATGTAGTATGTATGTATGTATAATAAATACTGTGTGTGTGTGTGTGTGTGTATCAGACATTACTCCCAAAGTTAGGGAAAAAATGAGTTTAAATTTCCTTTTTCTATGTATGTATATAAATACTGTGTGTGTGTGTGTGTGTGTGTATCAGACATTACTCCCAAAGTTAGGGAAAAAATGAGTTTAAATTTCCTTTTTCTCATTTTAACCTGCCTTGCTTGCAGTGAACATAAAAAACATTCTGATCCTTGGCCAACCTCCACCTATGAAATGGGGTGACATCACCAGTAAAAACTAATATTCTGGAATAGTAGTCACTTTATCTTTGATTACGACTGTTTTGAGGAAAGATTTGGTTTTAACTAGATTGTCTGAAACTTTATTAATGTCCTAGTCCCCCCCCCCCCATTTTTATCTACTTGTTGTAAAGCATTTGATATTTAAACTTTCGACTACAAATAAACTTTAACTAACTGGAAATTTAAACCTGATGATATTCAGCAAAAGGAAGACTTCATTTTATAAAGATTCTCTTTGAGACAGTGTCAGTTGCCTTTTTCTAATACCTTTGGAAGGAATTCTGGGAGGTTGACAAACTTTTCTAAACTCGAGCAATTCAGATGTGGATCCACAGCCCTGAGTAACATAATCCATGAAGTTTCAGCATCACTTAGATCTTGATTTTCAAACCAGGAAGCTTTGGTGGAAAATGTTCTACAGAATAGAAAAGCACAATTTTAACTGTTCCATCTTGTCAGAGCAAAGCCAATATAAAAAGCTTGTAAAAGAGAGTTCTTCATTCCCTTCTTTGTGGAATTCTAATTGTACAACAAGGAGTCTAGCTGTTTAGAAATTCTAGAATCAAACATAACCCAAATATCGAATTACCCTATACACAGTAGAAAGAATCTTCCTTTTGGGTGATCAGGGTACGCAGTAGTCATTCATCTGCTATAGAAAAAGAACTGAATAAAGGGTTGCCTGATGTTGGCTAAGCAGGGCTAGGTCTGGATGGTACTTGGATGGGAGACTACCAATAAGCTCCAGGATTGCAGACTAGGCTGGGATGTTGAAAAAACATCTTGGAAGAAGTCAATCGCAACCCACTCCCATTTTATTGCCAAAAAACCTGCATAGATGTTTCCAAGAATCCACCAAGAGAAAAGCTAGACTGGCTGGAGAGACTTTACATAACTTATTTATGGCATAATCTTGTATTCCACCCAGTTTTTTCTAGGTTACAGATGACTTGCAATCCACAAAATAAACCATAAATTTTAAACACCTGAACAGTGTTCGAGGTTCTCTGTGTAGTGTTTTACCTGGGATCAAAAGTGTCTTTTGGATCAGGAAAGCTCTGGATTTCAAATGGATGCGTCTCCTTCCCCTCTACTCAGCACGGGCCAAAGCCCCCGGGGTTCCACCGCTAGCTATTGCTGATCGAAACTTACAAGGGCTTTGCCTGATGCAAACGTCAGTGCCAGTCTGAAGATCTCAAATGGCACTCTAAACTCTGCAAAGCAGGGACTGGCAACTGGATGCCCCTCCCAGGATGGCTCTTTTGCAGGGTTGTACTACAGGGTGTGTATTGTGGGAGCAGTGGAGGGAGGGAGGAAGGAGAGACAGATACAGGCAGGGAGGGAGGGAGGAAGGAAAAGTGAAAGGGAGGGAAGGAAGGAAGGAAAGAGACAGGAAGGAACGAAGGAGAAAGGCAGAAGAGGAAGGAAAGAGGGAGGGAAGGAAGGAAGGAAGGAAGGAAGGAAGGAAGGAAGGAAGGAAGGAAGGAAGGAAGGAAGGAAGGAAGGAAGGAAGGAAGGAAGGAAGGAAGGAAGGAAGGAAGGAAGGAAGGAAGGAAGGAAGGAAGGAAGGAAGGAAGGAAGGAAGGAAGGAAGGAAGGAAGGAAGGAAGGAAAGAGAGACAGGAAGGAACGAAGGAGAAAGGCAGAAGAGGAAGGAAAGAGGGAGGGAAGGAAGGAAGGAAGGAAGGAAAAGGGGGAGGGAGGGAGGAAGAAAGGCAGAAGAAGGGAGGGAGGAAGGAAGGAGAAAGAAAGGAGGGAAGGAAACGAACTAGGGAAGGAGAAAGGAATGCAGTGAAAGAGAAAAAAATGGAGAGAGAATCAGTGTAAAAGAGAAAGAAAAACAGTTGGAGAGAGAGAGAGAAAGGAAAAGAGAAATAGGAAGTGTGTGAGAGAAAGGAAAATAGAGGCAGAGAGAGAGAGAAAGAGAAAGGAATGGCGGGGGAGAAAGGAGGGAAGAACTAGCGAGAGGAAGAGGAGGGAGGAAGGGAGGGAGGGAGGAAGGAAGGAAGGAAGGAAGGAAGGAAGGAAGGAAGGAAGGAAGGAAGGAAGGAAGGAAGGAAGGAAGGAAGGAAGGAAGGAAGGAAGGAAGGAAAGAGATT